GTTGATATGAAACATTGGTATCGGCTATTCGCTCTGCTGGCTGCATGTACGTTTGATTTCAATGAAATTTTTTTTCTTGTTTCAGTGCAGAAGCTCGCCAGCCGATGCATTGAAGAGGAGTGCGGCAGATTCAAATACGACGGCTCAGTGTCGTATATTGGGAAGTTAAGTGCTTGCGTTTACGTAGCAGCAAGAACTGTCGCCCACCTTCTTGCAAAGGCCCAGAGCGAAAGGCGATTGCTCGAGGTAAGTGGTTCAGGGAAACGTGCCATCGATCCCCACACACTGGCCAGAAAGGAATGCAGGGGGCCACTTATTTTTGCATTAATTCTCAAAATATTCTCCCTTATATCTGTTCCACTATAAGTGTGCGATGCTTTTCCGGCATACTTAGATTACTAATTAAACTGGCAACGCCCCAGAGATGCAAGAGAACTAACGTAGCGCACAGTTCTCACGCAAATCCCGTATTTCCGCGTTGCGGACAGAGAAGGGTCACACAGTGGGGGAGAGAGAGAGAGAGAGACCTGTTTGACTTTATAAAAAAAAATAAAAACCCCAGTAGAAAAGCACCAGATTTGTCGGTGTGATCATGCGTTTTTTCACCAAACTTGAAGTACTCAGGTCATTAACTGCATGAATGGTTGTTGTTTTGCACCTGGTTTTTGCGCTCACTAGCATAAATCACCATAAATTTTGCATTAAGTAAAGTAACCTAACAGTTCAGTGAGCAATTTTTCCGCTAAAACTTTTAATTACCCATATGTGAGAACCGCGCATAACTGAAAGCTAAATTTGAAATATTTAAGTTGTATTTGGGCGTGGGACATTCCCCTAAAATTTTAGCTTTCTAGCTGTTCTGGTTTCCGAGTTAGTAATTTTCCCGCCATAACTTCCAAATGCTCGTACATGAGTGCCCCAGGTACTTGGGAAACTGAATTTGAAATCTTTAAATTGAAATCTTTAAAATACCCATGAAATTTCAGCCTTCCAGATTTTCTGGTTGCCGAATTAGCAACTTCCCCGTTAAATCTTTCACGTAGTCGTACGTGAGAATCACACACACCTGAAGGTTGAGTTTGAAATATTTAAGTTGTACGTGGACAGGGAACATTCTCCCAAAATCCCAGCTTTCGAGATTTTCTGGTTCCCGAGTTAATAATTTTCCCGTCATACTTCGTTATGTGAGTACCACGCATATCTGGAGGCTGAATTTGAAATCTTTAGCTCACATATGCATAGGGAATATCCCTGCAAAGTTTCAGCCCCTTAACTTGTCTGTTTCCCGAGGTCGCCTCCCGCCAAAAAATTTGCATATTTTTTAAAGACTTCCGTGGACTTTAAAACTTCCGTACTCGGCACCCAGACGTAGGCGGGCGATAATATTAAAACGGGAGGGTCGCGCATGGTGTGGGCACATACTCCGAAAGTTTCAACAGACTAGCTTTTCTGGTTCTCGAGTTGAAAGTGGGTGACAGACACACAGACAGTCTCTTGCCAATATGCGTTTCTGCAATTTGCATATATGCAGAAACGCATAAAAATTGATTTTCAGTGAAGACGCACTACTGTGAACGGCTTGCGGATCAGATTTATCTGGATTTGATTGGTGGAACATACAGCTGTTTCCGGCTGTTGAATGGGACGCACGAAATTGGATGCGGATGTATGTTCTTTCGATGTGTGGTTGTCCTTCTTGCATGCTCTGCGATTGCAGACGAGCCATTAAAAAATACATTCTTCTGCCTTTATTTGTTGGACTAAATCGTTTTGCCGTTCTTTTAACTTACGGTGTATTCGGTCTTTCGCTGTGTTTCCACATGAGCCGAGGACATCGCTTGATGTTCCGTCGATTTGCGAGATTTGGGGGTTCGTGACTTCGTTGCTTAGGATGGAAATCTGCAATTGGCGGGCATATCGAAGGTCTGGACTGTTCTGTGGCAATGTTTTTGATTAACTGAAATTCTTAGCCACCCATCGGTTGGAAGTCCATCGTTTTAGATGGATCGAGGGTCATGCAAGCTCTGGGCCTGCTTTTTTATTTCACCGCATGCAGCTTCCCTCGCCGTACCGTATAGTATGCATTTTCTCGCATAGCTACGTAATCTTTACTGTTTTACTATCCCCTGGCGCTGCCAGGGCTTGTTGCCAGTGCTGCATCATGATCCGGTGCTTGGACCGAAATTTTATAGGAAAATTTGCAAAATTTAGAGTGTATTAACTCTTAACTAAGTTTTGGGTTGCGAAATTTGAAGTTAAGATACTTTTTATAAAGAAATTAGAGCAAAAGTATGCAGTATTTGCAATGCAGTCAATTTTATGTGAAGTCTGATTATTACGTTGCTGTTATTTGATAGAATCGCAAATTATCTCAGGATTACCTTTTGGAGCAAATTAGCTGTTTTTCAGCAACGGAGGAGGGAAACGAGGGCATCGTGGTCTATGCTGACAGTGAAGATAAACTAATTGAGGAAATAACAGATCAACACTTCTCTGCTGATATCATTGTTGCGTTGGACATATTCCTGCTCAATGGGTGATTTTTTGTTTTCCGAATTTTGTTATGCTTTAATACAGGTTTGGTGCAGCTAGTTTATGGCCAGGTAGTTTTTCGCGCACTTTGATAAAACGCCTATGTCTAGTGGAGCTTCTTTCTTGGGAAATCAGTCCAGCTACGATTTGCATGCTTATTTTACTAGAAAGCTGATCATGTCACTTGTAGAATTCTTCGAGCCCAAGAACCATCTGTATCTTGCTTGAGCTTAATAACTCTGACTAAAAGCGCTGTGGTTCAGACTAGTGATAAGTGCCGCGCGAAGACTGATATAGGGACATGCTCAA